AGAAGTATGCTTTTAAAACTCTCTTTTGTAGATGCTTGTGGAGTGGAAGTAACAGAAGACAATCAAGTATCCATGGGGTTATGAGATAAACAGACAAAACTCTAAAACAGTCACCCACAGCAGAGACAATGATGTTGAGATTTATTTGCTCACAATAGTATGAGTTGTTTGGGTTAGTCCTTCTTCCCAGATTTGTCAATTTGTCACATTTGTAGCTTCACTTAAATGCAGTTGATGTTCTTTGAATGTGATTGGCAGTGGTCCATCAAAATGGAAAAGCTTCTAAAAATAGCTGGAGGGGAGTGAGTCAGGTAGCAAGATACATTCTTTACATTAGGAGGTGAAGTCTGAAGGGAGCTATAAAAAAGAGTTTACTTTAAGAGTCTCTGGAGACAGAGTTTGTAAGTGAAGCTGTTAGTTCAGAAAAAGGCATTGCAAATACAAAGCTGGGATGATGTTCTGTTTTTCAAGTTTAAAAAAAATAAGCCTAATAACTAAGAAAAGAGGCTCAGTGGTCATACCTACTTTGCATTTCATTTCTGTATTTCTAACTTGGGGAGGAAGGAACATGAAGAGGCCAATGTCGAGACACCTCCTGTAGTATTTTTATTTGACTGCTCCGCATTACTCATCTTCAAGGTGAGAATTTCTAGTAGATCATTGTTAATATTTCTGTTTTACAAATAGTCATCTGAGAACGTCAAGATTATGACCAACTCGGGTGCACTGGCTGTGTCAAAGCAAGGAGCAGAACCAAGATGCTCTCACTAGTTTCATGTCTCGTACCAACAAGAGCAACTCAGCAGGGATTTATGAGAGTATGATTCAATAATGCATAATCTTTAGAGCTCTGATAGCTTGCTGGACTTAAAACTTCATAAGTTGTTAGTTAAACTTGCAAATATAAAACTAATATTTTAGTACAACTTGAAGCATTTCTAAATTGTGTTATTTCAGCATTGTAATCTAGAACCTTAAAAACAGGATGTCATGTATTAAATTCTTAAAAGCAAAAATAAGGATCCCTTTCAGCATGCCAGAGGTGAGGCAGCAGCTGTTTCTCACAGACATGGCACAGGCTGGCTATAGAGCAGAGGCATGCCATACTAAAAAAATACAGACTTGAAAATAAGGGGTCATCCATCCGTTACATTCTTTGTTGTAGGTTAAGTATATCTTGATCACTTGTGATAGTTGCTCATCTTACCTGCTCTTAAAATCCTGTGCTGTGCTGAACTCCTACAGCTGCTGCAGTTTTCTTCCTGGGTAGATTTTCCTGAGACACTGAGATGTCCCAGGAGTGGTTTGGACAACTAGAAACCAGGTCATTGATGTTGTAGAGCAAAAAAAGAGCATCTATGGAGAGATGCTTCCAAAGATAATTGCTAACTGAACCGAATCATTTCAGTATTAGGAACCTGAATCACGTCTTTAGGCTGATTGATAATTACATATTCAATTGTCTTATCTGCAGTTTTAATCAATTTTTAAGCTAACAACTTCAGAAGTTTCATGAGAAATACAAAAGAATGGTCTTTTTCTAATAAGTTTTTCTTGGGAAAGTTCAACATCCAGTGTATCTGTTTACCTGTGAGGTACATGCTGACGTAGTGTGAATGTGGTTCTGGTTCTCCTGATGACTGGAATATTTTCTTTTTAGCTTAATTGATGCATTTCAGGATTCTTCACTCCTGAAAAATGCCCTTTCCCAGATAGAAATTCAAAATAGAATTTTGGAAAACTAAGGGAGGCTAAGGCTAAATTCAACCAGACATATTAAAACTTGAGCCTTCAAAAGAATTAGATTTATTTGCAGAGTTATAATTCTAGGGAATATATAGTCAGCAGTCTTGGAAGCAATGTAATTAGCAAAAGTCACTGATGGTGGTGTTTTGGAGCTGCTTTAATAGCCAATGAAACCATAACCTCCAACAGAGACTATGCTGGTCTTACCATTTGCATGCGCAGTAAGCTTGCTGCACTGGAAAAAAGTGAGGTACAAAGGCTGAAGCAATATTCAGTATAATTTCTATTTTACGTAGATGAAAAACACGTGATTCAGTAACTTGTAAAGCAGATGTCAACATGAGGGCATTCTAACACCCATCACTTCTCTAAAGTGTTCTGACAAAGATTCATTTTTCTAAAACCTACTCTGTGGCATAGGCTATATGTGTGTGTTAGCAGCCATTTCAGTACATAATAGCCCTGAGAGATATATATATGCTTATATATATATGTCATATATTTGTTCATGACATGAGGTAAGTGACTATAAGCTGCTTATTTCTTAATTAATTGGAATGTTAGATTTGTGCTGCTGTTACAAGCTGTATCTCTGAATATACATGACCACTGTTCCACTGAATTCTAGAACTGTGTTAAAAAGTATAAAGAATTATATATATACTGTATTAAAAAGTATAAAGTTGAAGTATTGCTTAAAAAGAAACTAAATTAGAAGCAGATTCCAACATGGGGGGAGGCTACTGATTCAAACAGATCTAAGCTACAGATTCCCACCCATTTTATGTGTGGATTTCAGAAACAGATTACACTTTCTGACTTCAGTAGTCTTTATGTCAAAGATTTGCACTGGCTTCTGTGGACTGGAGCAGCTTTGTTGTAGACATGAAATTAATCAAATTAAAAAAATACATAATGCAGATAATTCATTGAGTATAAGGAGTCTGTGGACAGAGAATACTGTCTGGAAGAGGCACTGGTCTATTAATCTTCCCACCTTTATAGCTTACACAGCTTTTATTATTATAATAATAAGAAGAAGAAGAATGCCTACTGTAATACTTCGTGGAAAGAGCTTTTTCTTTGACCATTTCACTTTGACTATGGATATACGGATCCTGAAGAACAGGGTTCTTTAGGGTGTGTCAAGGAGTCTGTTCTCAGATTGGATACAGTCGATGTTCGTTTAAGTATGCACAGTCTGCTTTCAAAGAAATAAATTACAGCACACTTTTTAAGACTGTTGAAAAAATTCATCATTTATTACCATAACTTGGAATTGTGAGGTGAAATAAGTGTAATGTTGCACTGAAAGGAGATGAAGGAGCCCTCAGCGTTACGCTGACTTCCGACTTCCCAGCTCTGCCAGTGATTCCAGTGTAGCATTCAACAGGTGATTTTATGTGCTCTGTACCTGGTCTTCCTATCTATGGAGGTAAGGACTAATTTAAATTCTAGTGAGATGGTGCCTGACTTCACTGAGGTAGGAACTTTGAGATACCCTCTGTTGCAGTAATCCATTAGAAATAAAATCACGTAGTTTTTATGAAACATTACATGTTTGAATCTGGTTGATATCTGTGTTCTTGGGTGGCTCTAAAGGCACATTACTTGACATTCTCAGCTGTTTTTCCTTTCTTTGCAGCCTGTCTTTGCAGCTTCTCCTGCTTTCTTTTTTTTTTGTAGTACTGTGATGTTTTTGTAGATCCATTAACATAGGAAATGAAAAAAACAAACTAGTTGCCAAAAACTGTATAGCAGTTGGTATTCAGAGCATTATTTCACCATTTCAAAACACTGCCAATATAATATCTGTTTCGTTATGTACAAGTATAAGTGCTGCTAACATAGATAATTTGGAATCTATAATTGAAACCGTGCTATTGCAGCTCTCTCAATTAAAGATAGTCAAGACAGAAAAGCTGTTATGTACTTACCTGCTGGAATCATATGTCATTCTGTGCCATCCTGCTACATTCATACAGTGTTGGAATATATTTCAAAAGTGATTTGCCATTTATTAAAAATAGCATTATACCGTAAAAAAAACCCATGAAGTAAACATTGAGCTTTCAACAAATACTGTCAGTTCATATTAGAGGTATCGCTACCTTCCAGTGTGTATTAATAGTAATATTAATGATACTTTAAATTTCTGTGATTGTTAACATACATTTTCTGTGGTTTTCTGGTCTTTTCTTTGGTGTTGGGTTAACGGTTGGACTTGATGATGTTGAAGGTCTTTTCCAACCTTAATGATTCTGTAATGATTTTGTGATTCTGTGATTTATAGTGTCTGTTGTAATAATTTTAAAATGGATTTATCACTGTGTTGTTTGGGAATATGGAACACAAAATCAGACATTGCTACATAATGTAGCTTGAAAGCACTGCTAACTCTTCATGTATCGCACTCCGTGTTTAAAATATGTGTAGCCTCAGAACCATCCTGTTCAGCTGAGAACAGAAGGGATTTGCATCGTGTTTTAAAGGTTGACTAGTTCATGGACCGGAAGCCAGAGCATTCAACCAGAAGGGTCTTGTATCTTGTCTTCAATAATGCATGCTGAAGAACCATCAAAGGAGGGATTTTGACTAACTGCAGCACAAGGGAGAAAGACCTGTAGGTAGTCCCTGCTTCAGGCAGAGAGAACTTAAAAGGCAGCACATTGAGTTGTACTTAACTTTCTTTCAAGAAGGAGAAGATGCATATTCAAGTACAGAAACTGTCCTCTAAATCCTTTTCTGTGCATTTAATTTCTTCTGTCAGCTCTCTTGTCTATGACCTGGAGTTTATTGGAGTACTTTACTACACAAAACAGTGGTAATAAAAATTTGCAATCAGTTCATTTAGATTAAAGTTACCCCTTCAGTTCACCTCTTGGATAATTTTCTTTATACCCTGGTTACATACAAGATGCAACTGAAAAGAGCACAGGGAGATTCGTATGTACTTAATTGACTCTCTACTGTTACTGTACTTGATCAGTAAAGAGCAACTGCAGAATTAAAGGGTTGCAGGGATTAGAAGATTGCAGATGCTCCGCAGAAAAAGGTTCACAGTCTTCTTACTTCAAATATAGGGTCCAAATTCTTAAATACTGATTGAAACAGCAGGCAGATTGTGTCAGAATAAGAAAGGAAAGTTACAGTTTTGTTTAAAAGGTAGCATTGCCACAGATGTTCATCCTGAATGAATAAAAATACCTGTATTAAAAGCAGTTATCTCATTTGATTTATATTTTATTTTATAGGACCGTGGGTCACTAGGAATAGCAGCATAGATAGCGGAGAAACAGAAGTTGGCCGCAGGGTCACCCAGGAAGTGCCTCCTGGAGTTTTTTGGCGTTCTCAGATCCATATCGGCCAGCCACAGTTCCTGAAGTTCAACATATCCTTAGGGAAGGATGCTCTTTTTGGTGTTTATATAAGAAGAGGACTCCCACCATCACATGCTCAGGTACTTTATCAATGCATTTTTTGGCTTTAAATGTCAGAATGCAAAAATTTAGAGCATCTATGTTAGATTTGTGTTGGAGCTTATGGAGCTAAATTTTAGAGATTCCTGGGAATTACTTAATTTGTGATATTTCACTGAACACCCTGATATTAAGATTTCTAGGTTATTACATACCTTGATAGTAATAGATAAAAGAAGTATGATGTTCTTGCCAATCAGGTTTTTAAGATAACTTGCAGTTTGGCACTCAAGGTTTTAAAGCTCTGCACAGCTAGATGTGTTAACATAATTTTCTATCTTCATAGAAGTTTTAATCTCTACAGGAATGGCATTGCTGGGGTATGCAACAGACTGGCATCACTGCTGCCCAGCCATATTAGAGAACATAATGCAGTGGCCATGTGTTTGAGAGCTGTAATTTTACTACTTTTTCCTCAAAGACTGTATTTAGGTGTAATATCTGACTCGGACATGGGGCAAGTCTTGCAGCTGGGAAACCCAATTGTTCTTGATTTCTAACGGGCCTCAAAGACGAAGACTCGGTAATACTGCATTTTGACAGTGACCCTGTAGTACAGAACTAAGGGCCGCAGGTAAAGATAGTTTTAAAGTTAGTGAGATCAAACCTAAGTATCTTTTTCTTCTAGGTTGCACAGTGGTTGTTTCAATTTCTTTGCTGTGAGAAGATATGGCTATATTTTCTGTTACAGAGAGAATTTTTTTATTATATTGAAAATTTACTAACGTGAATGGAAGGTTTCCCATTTACTTAGATTAGAACTGCAATGAGAAATATTATATTTGCTGTTACACATACTAAAAGGAAAGAGCCCCCATTCTTTAGAGTGCAAGGGAAGCAGAAAAAGGAACCAGCTTTTGGAAAGGACCCTTTCCTTCTTGCATATCCTTGCTGCTAAAAATCAGTTCTTCATTCAGAAATTATCACCTAAACTTAAAATGCTTTATTTAGCATATGATAAATACTATGATATACTAATATATTTTTATACTATAAAAAATATGATATGATTGCTAAAAAGCAAATGTAGAACTCCATGATCCCTTGTGGGAAGGCCCCATTTAACATTTCTAGGTGCCTTGTCCTGATTTGCAAAGAACTGCTAGTACTGTTTGTTTTCATTTGGCAAAGCAAACTGCAATTACATCAATGGTTAAAATGCATGATCTAAGCTGAAAGCCCAGAGGCTTTACAATAATTGCATTGCTGCATATTACCTGCAAGGAGAACCAGCCCTAAGTGAACTGTGTCCATGTGTGTGCACAAGCTCATAGTACAACAGCGAACCAATGAATTTTCTGGCGAAAACTACACTTCCATTAACTGAATTTTGGATGTGCTTGCCAATGTGAGGCAAATTTGTAGAACTGTTCTGCATTGCCTCTTGTTCCTTGGTGTTTGCTATTACCCGTAGTCTGAACTGAGAATGACAATCTTTAAACAGAGTTGGGAGGAAAGGAGAAAAGAGGTTTACATGGATTTATGACCTCTACTTCCAAGGATTTGTGAACAAGGAGCTTTGCCTGTCCAAACTCCGTCAACTTCCTGTAGTATGCTGTTTTCAGATGTTCTCTAAGTTACTGAATGGATATATCTGGCTGGTAAGAAATGAGGATCAGCAGTCCACAACCCGGGGAGGGGAGGGCAAGTGGACAGTTTTCCATATAGCTAGAGGTTAGCGTACGGCATCCTGGAGTTCTGTTCTTCTACAAGGCTAGACAAATTGGGGGAATTGTAGAGGGGTGTTGACAAATTTTCAGCCATTGCCAGACATCCATGCAACACAGAAGGTATCCACAGAGAGTATGTTCCAGGGTGGGAGCCTTTCTTATGAATGTTTTGATTTTGGCTGTAATGCTTCAATATGTTTTCTCGAGGGTGAAATTATGCCTGTGGATCTTTAACTATTGCAATGAGGTAATGGCATAATTCATTGATCATGTCTCATTCAATTCAGAATTTTGGCGCTCACTTCCCCTATCATAACACCATGAAAAAAGCAGCAATTTAGTTGAGGAAAACAAAAGTATAAATCATGATGTGAAAATGGCTTAGGGCAACCAAAGCTCCTAAGCAGTCATCAAAGTTTGCTATAAATACAAGTTAATTATAATTGTCTGACTAAGGCATGATGGAGGTATGCCTGTATCTTGTACAAGAAATCCAGCTGGGCATAACTGCTAGTACAAAATACTTTTTTTTAATTCAAGCTGAACTTTAATTTCTATTGCACTGTGATCAAATGTATTTGTTCTAGGTTTCATTGTGATGTTCTCATCTGAGAAGGCTATGTTTCAGGGGAAGTTTCTCTTCTTTCTTTCACTTCACCTTACATGGATAGGATATAAATTTCATGACCTTTCTGTTAAATTAAATAATGAGA